CTGCCTTAGTTGACTGCCAACTCTGTGTTTCTTGGCTGTGTCACCTGGGGTGAATCACTTCCTTCCTCTGAGTCTCGGTTTGTCCAGTTGTAAAATGGGTTGGCAGTCCCTGTACTTCCAACCTTGTAGAGCTCCTGTAAAATGAGATGACACAGAAGTAAGGGCTTTGAAAGGCATCAAGCAGCCCTCGCTCGGGTGTGGTTTCCAAGGCTGATTGGGTGGGTGGAGAGAGAGGGGCACTTGGCAGGGGGAATTTGACACCTTCGAGATCCTAAATATTTCAGATAACCTGGGGCAAGTTGTAAGTCCTATTGAACACTGTCATAGGTTTGGGATAGTCACCTGCTAAGAAGACTTTTATCTCAAATATGCATTCTCAGATGCTCTGCTTCTGGTGATCTAGCTCCGTGGTCTGTCTCTCCAGTGGAGGTAGCTTGGGCAAGATGAGGCTGGTTCCAGGTTGGAACCTAATTTCTATGGCCTTCCTCTTACAACCTGTAATGGTCTCTGCCTGGGGACAGCGCAGGTTACTGGGGTTTCCTTAATGGTCCTCATTCCCCAGTCTCATCACCAAACAGGTATTTCAAAAGTGCTGCACCCAGATGGAGCTCTGGTTCCTGTCCTGGGAGAGAAAGCACGAAACTTCCCAGCCTTGCAGCAGGCTCTTTCACCTGAGGACCCAGAACGTCTCCGAACTGGACAGCATGCAGTTGGGGGATTGCTCTACCTTTCCAGGCAAAGAGGCTCTTGGCCCTTCCTATGTATCTCCTTGTTTTTCAGAAAGTGTGTGGCCATGCTTTTGATTTTTCATTGTCCTACTCTTATTTTAGCAACGAATTGATGAGCCACGGGAGGCTTTCACCATGTCTGCCTGAGTTGCAGGGGAAATCATTGACTGCTAGGTACAGTACGAAAAGCTGGGAAGTGTGCTTCAGCCAATAGCTCCCTGGTAACTTCGGGGGGGAATGTGAGCTCTTGGCTCCCCATTTTCCCTATCAGTAGAAAATGTAGGGACCACCCAGGCTCTGAAAGATGGAGTGACCAAGTTAAAATGAGCAACAGAAGCCAGCTGGCAAATAGGAGGCGTGTGGAATTAATGTCATCCCTGCATTGCAATTGACTCAGCAGATTTCAGAAATGAAGAATGGAGCCAAGGAACATACTTTTGGTATTAACCAAACTGCCAAAGGCTGTTATGTAAAACGAACCTCCTTATTAATCTTTAAGAAGGATAGAGGAGAGATTCTTTTGTCTATACTGATTCGAGTTGGGGTGAAATAAACACCATATCTCTTTTGGTCTTTGGATTCTGTCATTCCCTAATGAGAATAGCCCATTTCTTTTTCTTTCTTTCTTTTTTATTTTTATTTTATTTTATTGATTTCAGAGAAGAAGAGAGGGAGAGAGAGAGAGAGAGAGAGACAGAAACATCCACGATGAGAGAGAATCATTGATTAGCTGTCTCCTACATGCTTCCCACTGGGGATCGAGCCCATAACCCGGGCATGTGCCCTGACCGGGGATCAAACTATGACCTCCAGGTTCATAAGTCGACGCTCAACCACTGAGCAACACCAGCGGGCCAGCCTGTTTCTTCACAGGTGTGTTCTGACATGTGTCTGCCCACGTTGACGGGTGATGGGAAGAAAGGCAAGTGGACACGATAGAGTCTCTTGCTCATCTCGGGCGAGAGCAGAGGTCATCTCTGGGCAGGCAGGACTTTGCAGTGTCACAAATATTTCCAAAGGGAAATGCTTGCAAAACGCAGATGCCGGTCCCAATTCTGACCTTTGCGGCTGGTGCCAGCAATCACACTGGCACCTTTGTTCCCGCACGGGGAAGAGCCAAGAAGTGAAATGATATTTTCCTTCCCTCATCATTACTCAGCACGACGTGCCCGCTTCACTATAAAAAACTCAAGAGAAACGGCCGTGCCGTTGTTCTTATCCAGAAATGCATGCTCCCTTCCAACCAAGGCATCCGCTGGGCACAGCATTGTCTCTGAAAAGGATGGTCGTGCGAGTGACTCCATCACACGTACCTGTGATGTGCGTAGCCGGACAGTCCGAGTTCTCAGGGGAAATAAGCTTTTACATTGAAGCACGCAAAGGAATGCCCCGATCTCATTCCAACATCAGATCCCCACTCGGTCCGGGGGGGGGGGGGGGGGCTGAGTCCACTATGTGACAGCCTCCGGGGTTCTGACGGGGGGAGGGGGGCATAGGCACAGCCACCTTGAGGATCGCCCGGCCGCACACACTGTGCCTGCTCCTCTGTAAGCCGAGACCGGCTGCTGCTTTTAGAACTGCACTTGAGCTTGAGCTTGAGCTCAGCTAAATAAAGGATTGCCTGACTTATCACGATCATTACCTGATTGGTGACAAGTTTCTGATGTAGACAAATAGCCTATAGACAATCATTACCTGATTTGTAATGATTTTCTGATAGACAAAAAATTTGTAACAATTTTCTGATGTAAACAAATACGTTCTAGTACTAGTTCCTGTAGAGCTCAGTGGAACTGACTTTCTCCCTCCTTTTAGCACTTTTCGTTTTTATTCCTCAAGAGCTATACTCTCATCTGCCACTCCCTGAAGCCCCATTTCTCTCTCTCTCTCTCTCTCTCTCTCTCTCTCTCTCTCTCTCTCTCTCTCTCTCTCTCTCTCTCTGTCTCTCCTTGGAAATTTAAATCTTTTTGAGGTTAGATTTGGTGATTGAGCTTTCTCTTTGTAAATGCTACCTGCCATTCAATTGTGTTTGAGCTTGGGAGTTAGGAAGGCCTAGATCTCTTAGCTCTCACTTCCTGTTTCTCTGAGCCTCTGCTTTCTCATCTGTCCAATGGGAACAATATTACCCACCTCTCGGACAGGGGAGTCGGGAGGTGGCAGAGAGAGGGGGATAGTGGATATAATAAAGTGACTTATGTGTAAGCACCTAGTCTCCTGCCTGGCATGCAGTAGATGCTCAATAAATATCAGTTTCCTCATTCTTATCGGAAGCAGGAATTTGCTGAAAAGAGCAACTCGCATGTTCTCCACTAGCACTCGAAGTATACAGCATGTTGTTAACAGAAAGTGTTCTTCATGTTCAGTGAAGAGATTTTTCGGCCCTGATGTCTTGATTATTACTTAGCTCATTTTTTGATTCTTATAAGTATATTTCCAATAGGACATGATCTCACTCATCTAGGGGCAATGGTGAACAACATAGACTGATGAACAAGAACAGGCCCAGAGATAAGGAGCTATGGGTCAGTCTGTTGGACCTCAAAGGGGGAGGGGGGGGGGGATAAAAGGGAGAGATCAGCCAAAGGACTTATGTGCATACATATGAGCCTAACCAGTGGTCAAGGACAATAGGGGGGTGGGGCATGAGTGGGGAGGGAGAGGGATTGGAATGGGGAGTTGAGGACAAATATGTGATACCTTAATCAATAAAGAATTTTTTTTTAAAAAAATCGATGGTTGTTTAGACATCTTGAGAGGATGCCCCCCCCCCCTTCACTCCTGATGCTCACACTGGCTTCTGTTGCAAACACGGCTTTCCAAGAGCGATCCTGGTAGGCAGATAGGAAACTCGGGTGTGTCTCGGTGTTGGCCTTTGCCGGACACTCCCAGGGTCCAGCTCGGAGACCAAGGATCAGGTGTTCCACCCGAAACAACATCTGCTCCTCACAGGAACGACCTTGTTCCTCCGAATATACCTGATAATGGGTTCTTTGGACTGTCCTGTTCCAGCTCCTTCCAGGCAGAGGGAGCCGTGACCGTGACCGCGGGCCAGGGGGAAACAGTGCGCTATTGTGCCCGGGGGACCGGGAGCTCCTGGCCGTAGGTGCTTTTCGAAATCGGGTTTCAGAAATATCTGCCCACATCTCCTCCCCGCCCCCCAACCCCCCGTCCAACCTGGTGTTACTGTTAGAGGGAGAGAAAAAAAAAATCATCTCTGTTCTTTGTGTCGGTTGATTAATTTTAGGTTTATTGTTCTTATCCCGTATCACACTCACACAGCTACTTATGTAACATGTTCTTATATCATATGTCACCCGGTCCTTCCTGCCAAGGACCCGACTCAGGAAAGGAACTCTGTAGCAGAGAGCCACTGCCTTCTCTGGCTGGAGAAGGGCAAGTCGAGGGAGGACCCTCCGCTAGTTCAAGGCCACGGGTGGCGCCTCTCTCAGCCCTCCGGACAGGGGCGGCTGTGCGGCCTGTTCCTGCCCCAGGCAGAGGCAATTGTCTCTGCCAGCCGCACTCTGGAGACTGAGAGAACCGTCCCACGTGATTTCAGGGCTTGAAAAGACCTGTGACATCATCTGATCCAACCACCTTTTCTTGCGGGAGAGGAAACTGAAGCTCAGGAAGGACCACGTGATGGCTAATTTATTTCGTTTTTTTAAGTGACTGCCTGGAGTGTGTGTCTCAGGAGCTGTGCACGTTCAGGAGGCTCACCGCAGGCTTCCGGAAGGTTAACTGCGCGGCCAAAGGATACATCAGGCAGGGCTGGGGTAGTAGATGAGAAACCGGCCAGCACACACTAACTAAACACCTCCTACATCCTTTGGTGCGTGAGCATTCTGCCGTGTTCTGGGGATCTGGAAGAAGGAAGGAAAAGTACAAATGGGTAGAAAAAAGCGTGCGTTTAAGAAATGGTCCCCATCCTCCAGGCACGTACAGTGCAGTGAAATGAAAGACCTTCGACCTTCACAAGATCACATGTGTGTGTAGACGTGGAGTGGCGCAGTGAGAAGTCCTAGAGACGTTTCAGAGGAAGAAAGAACTGCTGGTTCCCAGTGGTCACGCCCCGTGTTTTCGCTGCTGGGCTGTGAATGCCACAGCTCTCTCATTTCACGTTGTGGCCTGGGGGTGGGGCTCGGCTCACACTGATGAATTCATAGGCGGCTCATTTGATACCAGCGTCAGGGGGATGTGGATGCATGCCCGGAGTGACCCCTGTGGGAGGAGTGCTGTCTGCTCACGTAGATCTTTTCTTTCTTTTTCTTCCAGTGGCCCACCCGCAGGACCCTCACCACCCCTCCGAGAAGCCCGCCATTCACTGCCATAAATGTGGGGAGCCGTGCAAGGGCGAGGTGCTCCGGGTCCAGACCAAGCACTTCCACATCAAATGCTTCACCTGCAAAGGTATGGCTTCAGGCTTCCCGGCTCCACGGCACGTCACAGCCAGTGCCTGCCTGGAGGTCCGTCCCGCCCCCTCTCCACACCAGGTCCCCGGAGGATGAGTGAGCATGCTCAGAAGCCAGCAGTCACTTAGCGTCCCTCGTGTGGGCTTGGGTGAGATTCAGGGGGCAAAGTGGGTCCCCCAGCACCGGGGAGGCACAGGCCTTTGGGTGTTCACTGAGGTTCCTGGTGCCTGGAGGGGGGCACTGATTAGAGGGGAGCAGTGAGAGTGCAGTTATGATTTCTGAACTTTTTATTTCTTTTCCTGTGAAGTGAGGGATTCCTACCACAGAGTAACTTTGTCCCAAAACCCATTATTTAGAGGAGGGCTGGAAGACTGGTAAAGTTGGGGTACAGAGTCACTGGCTCCTGTGGGACATGTGGGGTGGAGGTCTAAGGAGTGTATGTGTGTGTGTGTGTGGTATGTGTGTGTATGGTGGTGGTGTGTGTGTTTGCTGTGCGGTGGTGTGTGTATGGTGTGTAGTTGTGTGTGTGTGTGTAGTGTTGTATGTGTGTGGTGTATGTGGTATGTAGGGTGTGTAGTGATGTATGTGTAGTGTGTGGTATGTGTATGTATAGTGTTATGTGTGTGTGGTGTATGTGGTGAGTAGGGTGTGTAATGGTATGTGTGTGTGGTGTGTGTGTGTGGTGTATGTGGTGTTTAGTGTGGTGTGTGTGTGTAGTGATGTGTGTGTGGTGTATGTGGTGTGTAGTGTGGTGTGTGTGTGTAGTGATGTGTGTGTGGTGTATGTGGTGTTTAGTGTGGTGTGTGTGTGTAGTGATGTGTGTGTGGTGTATGTGGTGTGTAGTGTGGTGTGTGTGTGTAGTGATGTGTGTGTGGTATATGTGGTGTGTAGGGTGTGTAGTGCTGTGTGTATGGTGTGTAGTGTGGTGTGTGTAGTGTGTGGTGTGTGTGAGTGTGTGGTGTGTGTATGGTGTGTAGTAGTGTGTGTGTGTAGAGTGTGTAGTGGTGTGTGTGTGTGTGTGTGTGTGTGTGTGTGGTGTATGTTAAGAAGTGAGCATTAAGCAAAAATGCTTGGAAGGCCTCCAAGCAGAAAAGTACCTCCCATCCAGGAAGCTCCCAACTGGAGGTCGATTCCATTAACAAGCCTCCCTTTGGGGCTCAGAGCTGTTGGCATCTCGGTATCAAATATGCTGACCCGTAGTTGTGGGGCCGGGCCTGGCTGCTTTGTGCTTATTGAGAAATAGGTCATTTGAGCTGATGGCATGCTGGAGTGGCTGAGGTTGGTGTGGGGGATGTAGGAACTGGGAGAGAAGAGGACAATTGTAATCCCACCCTGTATCTTTACTCTGCCCCCTGCACGTGGTACCCGCCCTCATCCCTGGAAACCGTGTTTCGTTTTAAGTCTCTTAGGTGCAAAGCTCAGCATTGCCGTCCTAAGCCACCCACCCACGGCCGGGGGCTGTCAGGCAGACTCCAGGCTGCCGAGAGGCCCTCCAATACACGAAAAAAAGAGAGAGAGGGCTTTTCTGATGTTCTGGTTCTTGCATTGAGCATCATCTTTTCAGAAGAAGGAGCGCTAGCCTATAGCTCGGCTGAGAAGATGTCACGGGAAGGGCGCATGAGCTTAATTCCGTGGAACATGACACAGTTACCAAAGGCTCTAATGCATCCTCCAGAGAGCCCCCAGTCCTCTTGAGAACCCTGTGAGAAGTACCACAAGTCCCCAGTTTCCAGGCAACCCAAAGGGCCGTCGGGAAACAGCAGCGTCACACTCAGGTGCTGACTGGGCTGCGACACCATGAAGCAGCTCTGTGACCTCAGGCAGATCCCCTGTTTCCTGGGGCTCCATGCTCTTGTCTGAAACATAAAAAGACTGGATGGGGGCTATTTCAATGGACCCGGGTCTGAAGCCTGCTGATTCCATGTGCCCATAACGGTCTATGTGCATAGAACCCAGAGGTACCGAATGGGAGCCTCTGAGACAGTGTTGGAGAGAAAATATTTCCAGTTACATCCAGCTCAGCTACCGTGGAGTCAAGAATTATATTTTGCTTTACTTTGTGCTCAGAAATTTCCTGAGACATGTCTCCAGGGGTAGATTTGGTATGAAATCAGTACAGTCTGTATTTGTAGTTTAACATACAAAGCATTAGTCCCAAGTGTGGGTAGTTACTGTTCAGCACGTCAAGGTGTTAGGAGACAATTTTTAAAAATATACTTAATTGATTTTTTTTATAGAGAGGAAGGGAGAGAGAGAGAGTTAAAAACATTGATGAGAGAGGAACATTGACCAGCTACCTCCTGCACACCCCTCACTGGGGATGTGCTCGCAGCCAAGCTACATGCTCTTGACCAGAATCGGACCTGGGACCCTTCAGTCTGCAAGCTGACGCTCTATCCACTGAGCCAAACTGATTAGGGCTTAGGAGACAATTTTGTTTGGGGGTGGAGGTGTATGTACTTGCTTTTTTCTCTTCTAGTTTATATTTAAGGACTGAATGCAAGTTATTTGTGTGGGAAAGTTGTACCTCATACTTTGCTTCATGCTGTCAATATGACACAGCCCTCAATGCAATTCTCTTATCTGCTGTATCTGCTAGACAGACATGTAGCTCTGTGGTCCATGATCAATAGCTTCACTTACACTCCTTTCCAGAAGATCATGTTACTGTCTAGTAACTATCTGAGGACATACATCATAGGAAGCACTTCATAAATCTAGTTGACAAGCTATGCCATTGGAAACCTTAGTTTTTTGAGGAAACTCCACACTGTTTTCCATAATGGCTGTACTAGTCTACATTCCCACCAGAAGTTACTAGGGTTCCCTTTCCTCCACATCCTCGCCAGCATTTGTTATTTGTTGTTTTGTTCATGGTAGCCATTCTGGCAGGTGTGAGGTGATACCTCATTGTCATTTTAATTTGCATCTCTCTGATAACTAGTGACATTGAGCATTTTTTCATATGTCTCTTGGCCATCTGGATGTCTTATTTAGGTCTTCTGTCCATTTATTGATTGGGTTGTTTGTCTTCCTTTTGTTAAGTTGTATGAGTTTGCTTGTTCATTCATTCATTCACCTTATTGAGCACCTACCATGTCAATCTAGGCACTGGGGATAATAGTGGACAAAACAGATAAAAATTTCTGTCCTCAAGAAGCTTACCCTCTAGCAGGAGATAAATATAACCAAATAATTATGACATAAAAGGTTGAATAGAAGGCAGAATTAACCAGGTGGTAGGGTGGCCTATGAAATTCCCAGATATTAGGCTTTCCTGTAGAACAACTTCATTAAATGTAAAATTTAGGTATGAAATGCCCAGCTAAAGAGTAGCCATTAAAATGTATGTTCCAAACATATCTGATCAGTAATTTAGAGATGGAAAAGTCATGGTATCTAGTTGTGTCCTATGAATTTTGAAAGAAGAAAGGGTATAGAACTCTCTATTGTACAGTTTTCTGCACCCATAAGTTCAAAGGCATATGCCATAGACAAAGTTATTTTGTTCCCTCCCAAATTCATATGTTGAAACTCAATACCCCATGTGATGATATTTGGAGGTGGAGCTTTGATAAATAATGAGATGATGAGGGCAGAGCCCTCATGAGGGGGATTAGTGCTCTAATAAAAGAGTTCCCTTACATATGTGTGAACCAAGAATCAGGCCCTTGCCAGACACTGAATCTGCAAGCACCTTGACCTTGGACTTTCCCAGTCTCCAAAATTGTGTGAAATAAATTTCTGCTGTTTATTAAGTCACCCAGATTTTGTTATAACAGCCTGAATAGTAATCAAACAATCAAATAATTATACAAGTATAATTTACCACGGTGATTGGGGCAATAAAGGGAAAATAAAAGGAGGTGCATGAGCAACAATGTGAGCTTGCAATAGGAGGATCTTGATGTGTTTGTGGTGGGGCAGGTGGTCAGGAAAGGCTTCCCTCACCCCCATTTCCAGAAAGAAAGAGAAGTTTGAGCTGACAGATAAAAGAGGAAAACACAACAACCACTCAATTCCTTCTAGTAAAATAGTCAACGATGTGGACTTCATAAGTCCAAAAGCAGATTTGCATTCTTTCCATACTAAAAGTCACTTAATTTTTGCACAAAACCTAGGAATATCAATACTTCACGGTCTTTGCCATGTACCGTGTGAAATGTCTATAGAGCATCTACCCATTCACTGTGCTAGAGTATGGAGGACTAACTGCATACACGACTCGGCACCTATCCTTGAAGAATCTGCGATCTGGTGGCAAGCAGTGTGCTTACTAGTGGACCGTGACTGGAGGCAGGACAGGTGGAGGTGAGCGGTCCAGGCTGCAGAGACTACCTAGCACTCATTGGTCTGGGAATGTTGCCAAGGAGGAGACAAGATATGGTGAAGCACAGATGCTCTGGAGAGCTTACTAACCTGCCAAGGACTGGAAAGGCGGAGCATGCTAGTTGTGGGCAGGGGCAGGGGCTGCCTCGTTCAAGGCAGTGGATGGGGAAGACGGGTGTGACTAGAGCAGACAGTGACCTTCATTTGGCCAAGCAAGTTTCTACCAGAAACGAACTGAACTGCAATGTTCCCATCGTCATTTGAGAGATGGCATTTTAAACATTAATTATAGTAACTTCATTCCTTTTTCAAAAATGGAACTAGTGATGTATGTTATTTATAGCCACGTAGTTTTAAAAAGACTTCTGAACATTGGGTGTCTATAGAAATTTTGAAAAATCAGATCATGTGAAAATAGAATCAGATTATGTACAGTCTTCCATCTAGGTAGCATTGGAATGGCAGAAAGCCTCATAGAATTCTGTTTTAATAGAGACTGCTGCCACTAAGCAACATGAGTTTTAATGTACTATGTGTTAAAAGGTGTGGCCAATGCTACCTTTTAATTGATTTTTTAAATCCTTTGGCCTCTATAATGTTTATGCCAACAAGAGAGCCCATGAACATTAACATTATTTTTAAAGTGTTGATTTAAAACGATTAGAAAAT